TCCCATTTGTCCATTTTCACTCTGGTTGCCATCTTACTCAAGAAATATTTCACAGTGTTAAGAAATATTTGCCTAGACCAATGTCCTGGGTTTTTCACCATTGTTTTCCTGAAGTAGTTTAATATTTTCAAGTCTTAGATTTAAGTATTTAATCCATTTTAATTTGACTTTTTTGTATGGTGGGAGATAGGGATATAATTTCATTCTTCTGTTTATGGATCTCCAATTTTCTCAGCACCATCTATTGAAGAGACTGTCCTTTCCCCAATATATGTTCTTGGCACCTTTGATAAAAATGAGTAGACTGCAAATATGTGGATTTATTTTTGCGTTTTCTGTTCTGTCTCACTGGTCTCTGTGTTTGTTTTTTTTTTTTTTTTTTTTTTTTGTTTTTGTTTGTTTTTGTTTTTTCCTACTTAAGACAGCTTAGGTTATTCTGGGTCTTTTGTGATTCCATGTAAATGTTAGTATTCTTGTTTTCTCTTTCTGTGAAAAATATCACTTGTATTTTGATAGAAATTCTACTGAATCTTTAGATTGCTTTGTACAGTGTGAGAATTTTGACAATATTGATTCATCTAATCCATGAATATGGAATATCTTTCCTTTTTTTATATGTTTGCTTCTTTCTCAATTTCTTTCATCAGTGTTTCATGGTGTTCTTTATAGAGATCTTTCATATTTTCAGTTAAGTTTATTTTTAGGCATTTTATTTTATTTGTAGCTATTGTAAGTGGGATTATATTCTTGATTTCTTTTTCAGACTGTTGGCTGTTTTAATATATAAATGCCTCCAATTTTCATATGTTTATTTTGTATCCTAAAACTTTACAGAATTTTTCAGTTCTAATAGTTTTTGGTGGAGTCTTTAGGTTTTCCCACATTTAAGATCATATCTTTGCAAACAAAAAAAAAATGTATTTCTTCTTTTTCAATTTTGCTGTCCTGTATTTCTTTCTCTTGCTTAATTGCTCTGGCTAGAATTTCTAGAACTATGTTGAATAAAGATGGTGAAAGTAAGCAGCATTCTTGTCTTTCTTGTTTCAGAACTTATAGAAAGCCTTTCCATTTTTCTCTATTCAATGTACTAAGTGTGGGTTTGTCATATACGGTTATATTGATTTTAGGTGTAGTCCGTTCCAATCTCTTTATTTTATAGATAAAGGCAACAAATCTTTGAGAGAGTAAGTCACTCCTTGAAGCCCCAGAACTAAAATATGATAAAATGAAGTCGAGAAGCCAGATCAATCTGTAATTTTGTGCTATTCCTGTCATACGTCTCAACATGAAACATTTGTAATTATCCTTTTTGAGAAATATTAGTGCACCTTGCACTTCCTGGGTGAGACGATGCCATCCTGCTTTGGCTTGCCTACCTTGAGCTGTTCCAACTGTCTAACCAGTCCCAATAAGATGAACCTGGTAGCTCTGTGGGAAATACTGAGATCACCTGTCTTCTGGTGTGCTCTCACTGGGAACTGCAGACCAGAGCTGTTTCTATTCTGCCATCTTGGTAGAAATCCAAGCATGACTTTTTGATTGTTATTATACAATGTATTAAGGTTAAAAATGGGGCTGGATATATATATATTCCATTATGTTTACATATGTGTGTGTGTGTGTGTGTGTGTGTGTGTCTGTGTATATATCTCCAATATATGTTTAAATTGGATAGAAGTATAGGTATGAATGCAAGTAACCAAAGTTATTAATTGTGCTTTTGTATTGTCCTTTTGCATTCTGAAATGCTACAGCTGTGAGCCTGCAGGCTACAATTCCCAGACTCCCTTGCACACTTGCTTTCTGTTATGTTTAGACAATGTGAGGTCCTGGAAGGTAATTTGTTTATGATTTTTCTTTTAGATTTTCATAATGCTAATTAAAAATAAAATAATTAAAAACACTTTTTCTTGTCAATATCAGAGTAGCTTTAATTCTTAAAACGAGATCTAGAAGAGAAGTATCAGCATGTTCATGGTTGTTTCCTCTAGAGAAAGCAATGATATTTATGACCAAAAGTGACAAAGAACTTTAGAGTACATAACTTTGTGTTGTTTGCACACTTCAAGACTGATAATTTATTCACGTATTACTTCAGTAAAAAAGTAAAACCAAAAGCACTACATGAAATGCATTTTAGAAGAAGGTTTTCTAGTCTTTACATAACTGGCTGCAGTTATGACTTGAAATGGGAATAAATGGGAAAGGGAGTGTTAGTATTTCACTTGTGTCTCCATGTTTTTATACATTGCCAATTATTTGAATAATTAAAAATTTTAATGAAAAATTTATGAGCAGTAATTTAAGATTTCAGACAGAACCAATATGGGGGAGGGGACCTCATAAGCCCAGAAACAGACATTTCATAAAATTTTATGCTTGACTTTTTTTTTTTTTTTGAGACAAGATTGTGCTCTCTTGCCCAGGATGGAGTGCAATCACATATTACTGCAGATCCACTTCCTGGCCTCAACCAGTTTTCCTGCCTCAGCCTCTTGAGTAGCTGGGATTATAGGAACAGCACACCCAGCTGATTGTTTAATTTTTTATTTGTAGAGAAGAGGTCTTGATATGCTGCTCAGGTTGCTCTTGAACGCCTGGGCTCAAGCAAACCTCCTGCCTTAGCCTCCCAAAGTGTTGGGATTACAAGTATGAGTGACTCTGCCAGGTCTTATGCATGATTTTTGATTCTATGAATAATTTCATCCTGTGAATGTGCTATAATTCATTTAACAAATCCCCAAAGGCATACTTAGGCTGCTTCCAGTTTTTCACTATTATAAACAACATATTTATATACTATTAGAAAAGATGATGCACCCATTTATGGGTTTTGATTTTCGCTAATAGCAAGTTTGTAAGGAGACACCCTAATTTTGCACATCCGGTTGACAAAGGTGAACACATTTGAAAACAGCTGGTTTATAAATGTGAAAAACTGGGCATCATGTACACATCAATGGAGGTCAATTTGGTAATACCAACCAAAAGTGAAACAAATATTGATCAGCGTCCTCTGAGCTTTTTTTTTCAACTAAGCCTTGACCTTGGCCTGTGATATGGTTTGGATCTGTGTCCCCACCCAAATCTCACGTTGAACTATAATCTCCAGTGGTGGAGGTGTGGCCTGGTGGGAGGTGACTGGATTATGGAAGGTGGTTTCTCATGAATGGTTTAGCATCATCCTGTTGGTAATGTCCTTGTGATAGATCTGCTTGTTTAAAAATGTGTAGCTCCTCTCCCCTCTCCCTTGCTTTTGCTTTCACTATGCTCCCTCCTTGCTTCCAGAAGGTAATTTGAAGGCTCTTAAAACTGAGAAGCTTTTAGTAAAAACAGCAGTGGCAATTGCTGGTAGTTGCTGGAAATTGCTGATGCTGCTATAGCTTAGATGTTGCTATAGCTCAGATGAGATTAGGTGACTAACAATTCCAGCAGTTCCATCGGTGGCCAAACTTCCTTAGTGTTTGCTAGGTAAGCAAGCACAAGCATAGCTCTGATATCCATCCTAACATTTTAGCAATTTCAGCACCTGAATAGCTGTCCTACTGCAGACCAACAGTAGACACAGTAGGTTCCTGGATTCCAGTCTAGTGGCATTTGTAGTTTTCTGGAAAATATACTTATTCTTTTCTGTTCTGTCAACATCTCTCCCTTTTGCTATACCAGTCCTTCTAACACTTTTTAACCATTTCCTTGTTTGATATCCCCTTTGAAATAGGTAGTATATTTCTATTTTCTAGAGTGTACTCTGAAGGTACAATTTCTCAACCATAAATCCATGCTTACTTCTATGAAAGAAAAGAGCAGTTTTATGATCAGTACATTTGTAGCTGACAAAATTAACATATTTTGGAATTTTAAGAATTCAAAAAAATACCCACAGAAAGAAAGGAATTAATAACCACATTTTTGAGTCATACGTAAGAAACTTGCATGTCCCCAACTTCCCATAAGTAAGCATTCTTTATTCTTAGGTGAAAAGTGAGTAAATTTATATTTCTTTCCATAGGCCAGGCAATATAAAGTTTTTTCTCAGGTACATGGGTTTAAAGGGAGAATTAAAATTCTCTGGACAGTGCTATAGACCTCAAAATGGGGTCTGTGAACCAGCGCCAGTCTACAGACTGTTACCAGTGTTTTAGGTGATAGCTTATTCTAGAATGGAAATAACAACACTGTATTTTTCATAGAAAATGCCTTTCTACCCAAAAAAATGACATAATTTGTAGGAAGCCAGTCCTACATTACCTGTAGGTACCCCAAGTTTGGTGATGACAAAGGAATGAGAGAAAGATTAAGAGAAAAAGTGGGACCAGGGGGCCATCACTTTATTACTCTGGAGGCAACAGTAAAGGCCCCAAGCTTTGTTCATCCACTCTGTTTATTGTTTACAATCACTTCGATCTACAGTGTAGGGGTGGAGTGATGGTGAGGAGAGGGTGATGGTGGAGTGAATCAGTGAGCTGGAACTGAATCAGTGAACAGGAACTAGTGTGTCATTCTACAGATTGATAACAGTGGCAGTTTGGAGATTTCACAAAACAAGAACATGTGGTTATCTTTAGCTTATTACCTATGAACAGCTGATGGAACTCTGGCCTTACAAGGAGCCTACAAGTCTGGCGACATCATACTGCTACAAAGGGGTTTTATGTCCTTGAGCACAATGTTTATGGTAACACAGCCTAAGTCACCTGGCACCGAACATGAGGCATGGAGAGGCCTTCCTCCTCAGAGGCCTCCTGCAGCCTTCTGCAGTTTGTTGTTCCTTGTTTATATGTTACTCATAACCAATGTATGTAGGCACTCTGTAAGTCCTTTCTCCTTTGCAGCTTTTCCCAACAATTAATTTATATTTTTTGTGAGCTTCTTGCCTCCTATACCAGTTACAATTAGTCCACAAACCAGTGCATAGGTCACTATGTATTGGAACTACAGATAATCAGAATTACACTAAAAGTAATTCCTCTGAAATATAAACATATAGCACATTAGGCAGGTTTTCTTTTAGAGGAAATTTCTTTTAGATCAATATGTATCCTCTTTCTGGAAAAAATATGTTCACAATGATATAAGAAATAATAATCACATGGAAGTAAGCTAATACCTAAAAGTTATAATGCTGATGTAAAGGGACCCATCAACACACTAACAACAGTCACATCCACCATTCTATAAGGAAAATAAATGACTTGGTAAAGAAGTTTGATTTTAAGGAAGGATTAAAGAAATGCATCTCCTTATAAGGATAATGAAAAACTGATTCTGCAGAAAAGGAAACAATAAGATTCAGAGCATTGAAAAGAGAGAACAGGATTGTATACTTCCACCTTTCTGTGCTCAACATAGAATGGTGTAAGTTTAATAAGTAGGAAAAAGAATAAAACACCCAATTTGTGGGAGAGAAAAGCAGAAGAAAAGCAGAAAATTTTAAATATTAGGATCAGAGCAAATCTTTACAGTGGATTGTGATGCAATTAAAAGAAATCAGAATGACTTAAATAGATGATCATTTTTACATTCTATTAGAGTGGAAGTCTTGTTTTCCAACATCGTATTGAACTACCTGATGAAAAATGATAAAGATTTATACTAATTTAACATATGCAAATAATAATTTCAATATTTATAGTATCTACAATTTCAACCAATTTTCTTGAGCTCATACTAAAATAATTTTTTGGAAAAAATATGAATATTATACTTCATATAAGTTAAATTGTTAGAAACTTCCTATCAAGGTAGTGAATAAGCTGAATTTACTATCATATTTGACGTCTGTATTGTCCCTTTGTACTCACAAGTTCTTCTGAAAATCTGTACCAGCTGCTGAGTACAGAAGAAGCTGGTGATTCTTAAATAATTGAGGCACATTCTATAAGCTCAAACAAATAAAGCTTTGATTTAAGATTGTTTAATCTCAAAAAGATCAGTATAGAAAACAGATTAGAAACATGGATGAAGTAGAATTCACAAAGAACCTCTATTCAGCTCCGAAGCTAAGCAGTGGCATTTCTCAAAAGATGGCTTCATGATGTGACCTGGAATCAAAGAAATTACGATGCTTCTTTGAATTTAAGTGAGCTTTTAAATCAGAGGGTGAAAGTATTAAAAACGGTTCTTTGTGAAAGACTGAATATGAGCCAATGCTAATTTTACATTCCCACACTCTCAAGAAACTTACTAATGTTTAGTGTAAAAAGAAAATGAAATTTTCCTTATATTTTTAAACTAAAATTTATTCTGAGAAGAATGTTTTATTGTTAAACCAATGTTTCACCGCAAAGCCATCTTCATTCACAAGAATAACAACGACAATAATCACAGCAACAATTACCAATATTTACCGGGTGCATACCATGTGTCAGGTACTCTTTTTAACTACTCTGTATATATTAGTTTAATCCTCAAAACAACACTGAACAATTATCTCCATTTTACACAAAAAGAAATAGAGCAATGGACATTTATTCTAGAAATGTCTGAGCTATATTCTTTTGGTAATTCACTGCCAAAAATTCTGTTCTTCAGAATAAGAATGTTATAATATGAAACATTTAATTCAATATGCCTCTGAAAGCCTTTCACACAATAGGGCAGTTAAATAAAAAAAAGAAAAAAAAAATCTAAATCATTAAAAGGAAGTATATGTGCTTTAGAAGTAATACCAGAAAACATTTCCTTCATATAATCTGGCCTTCCACAGATAAATAGATTTGTTATGTGCCTGAAAAAATAAAAAAGGCTTTCAATGACACTGTTAGACTAGAAACAGAAATTTAAAATACATCATCAATGGTAATTTAACCTTTTGTAATTTATTCCCAGTGCAAAACCATTAACTGGTAAAAATTACTTAAAAAACAGAAACAAACATTCTAAGTCCCTGAAAATTGCCAAAGGGAATACAGCAAAACAAGAAACATTTAGTCAGGGAAATTTACTAAATCTCTGTAAGAACAGCTAATTTGTCAGACTTGAATTACAGCCTGATCCTTCTGCCCCCACCCCTCCAGCTGAGCATGACAGCATCTCCACTGTAGTCAGGTGTGGGCAAGAAGACAGGCGTTCTTTTTGTCCCAGCTCCCTGACAATGGCTACTGTATCTCATCAGAAAAAGCAGATTGCCATCATTTTTATCTCTTTGAACTCTGTTTTGCAGAGGCTAAATTCCAGATAACTTCAGCAAAGATGTCTCAGGCTCCAATCTTCCACCTGGCATCCATTCTTAGAGCAGAGGCTCTAACTCAGGTACCACAGTCCAAGACAACTAATACCCCAATAGCCTTGACCCGACTTTCTCATAATATGGAAGTTTGGTAGAGGGGAGGCAAGCTGGGAAGAACAGAGGATACCACTAATGCTCCAAACTCTGCTCATAAGGCAGGTATGTAACTACAAGAGAATCTGGCCATTGTCTTGATCATAACTCTGAAGCAATAAATCAGAATTTTCCCTTGGGGTAAGAATACAGGAACATAATGCACTGAAGCTCACCCCAAAGGAACTGACTTTAATTAAGACAGAGCATGAGGAACTTCAAGCCTGACTGTATGCTCAAACAAAATGGAGATTTGGGTGATTAGCAGTAAGAGAAGGCTGGTAGCTTTATAACAGCAATAAACTAAGGTACAGGCCAGCTAGTTTGTCAGAGAGAACCATTTCCAGTGAATAAGACTGCTAAGAGCTACCCTCTGGGGTCTGAGCATACATCAAAGAATGGGCTCAAATATTACTCATACAATGGAGTCAAAATAAAATTGGACCAAAGCACGGAGCAATTTATGCTCCAGAGAAATGCTGGAATAAAAAAGAGAAATCAGCTGGAAATTTGGGAAATTCACAAATATGTAGAACTTAAACAGCATACTCTGAAAAACATTCAAAGGTTAAACCCCCAAGGTCAAAGAGATGGAGGGAGGAGAAAAAGTAGACAACCTTAGAACCCCAAAAGAGAAAGTGTAGTGATGAACTTAGCAAACTGGATAGAGCTAAACGTCTTATCCCCAGATCAGCAGCAGTATTTTCACTAGGTAACATGTTAAAATGCAACTTTTTGGGCTCCACTCTAAATACACCGAATCATTGTATTTTTGGAGGCGCTGGCGTGTTTTAACAAGCTCTTCTGGTGATTCTGATACACATCAAAGTTGGAGAACCATTGTTCTAAATAATTAAAAGCACCAGGTGAAATAAGACACTATTGAAAACAGAAGGATTAATTGGAAGGTTTAATAAGGTGTCACATTCACCCTACTAATTATGGTGACTGGCCCCTTTTTCCCTTGAAAACAAACTTAGAGAGTGATACTGAGGTCTAATATCCTAAGTCAATTAGAGATTGAACTCATGAACATTAAGAACAACGATGAGACAAGGAGAACATTCCATAGTGTCTACAGAGGAACTAGAGAAAACCTAGTGGCCTCCTTCTTATTCATGGCTTCTAGAATTCTACCATTAACTTTATAAAATGCAGACACAAAGAAACTGTATCAGCTCCTGCTATGGACTGAATGTTTCTGCTGAACTAAAATTTATATGTCAAAACCTGATCACCAATGTGATGGTATTAGAAAGTGAGTCCATTGGGAGGTGATCAAGTTATGAGGGCTCCATCACATGAAAGGGATTAGCGCTCTTACAAAGGAGGCCAAGGTAACTTATTTGCCTTTTTCCACCCTGTTAGGAAACAGCTAGAAGGTGCCATCTTTGAATCGGAAAGTGGGCTCTCACCAAACACTGAATCTGCCAGCATTTTGATTTTGGACCAGTCTCCAGAATTATGAGAAATAAACTTCTGTTGTATATAAACCATCAGTCCATGGTATTTTGTTAGAGTAGCCCAAACAGACTAAGATTGCCCCTCAGCGGAAAGATATACAGATACTATGAAGGTCCTCCCACCTGGCGACTCATCTCTCAGTCAGCTTAGAGCAAGGTGATATAATATCCATGGTGATTATTTACTTGGCTAAACATGCTTTATCCTATACAGTAAGAATGAGGAGCAACAATTATGAATACATGGAAAGAATTTTGTGTAAGAGAACTTAATGCTCTTTTTTCAGAGTAAGATTTAAATACAGAAAACTAAAACCAAGATTTGGCAGTAATCCACAGCTGCTAGCATAGAGCACCACAGGTAGATACCACACTGTTTAGGCCAGCCACTGTGAGTACATTATTGCTCTGTTATTCTTTCCTCTACTCAGGCCAGATTCAGTATCTCAGCTCCCATGCTTATGCTCTTGGGAACAGTGGGTGTACTTGGAGTTTCTCTCAGTGGGTGTACTTGGAGTCATGTCCTAAACCATGACTCACAGATATAGAAGGCAGAGGTGGATGCTGAGTAGGCAAATACGGGACAAACATCCATGGCAGATTGAAATGGTTAGATGGTAACATGCCTTACCTGGTTGTAATCATGATTGAGAGATAATGCACATTAGCATCAGTTCCTTCAATATTTAACTAATGGGAGAATTTACTGTGAGTTTGAATCCAGTCAAAAACTATCTCCAGCCTAGGATCATTTAAAGTCACTAAAAAACAGAATATTCATATTTGAAGATGTATTTGATTATGAAAGTGAAGTTCTCAAATTAGAGAGAAAGATCAAGAGAAAGGTGCTGAAAGATACAGCCGTTCTTGTGCTAACAGTGAAAACAGACAATATTTTGAATATTATGCTGGATGGGACAGTCTGCTTAGCAAGACAGTACTAAGGTCCTAATTAAAAGTACAGGCTGGGGATAAAGATATATTGGCAAATGTAAGCACTGGGCCAAAACCTGTGAGACAAAGGACAGGAATAACAAAAGAGGAAGAAGAGGAAAGTAGAGTGAACCATGAATGATACTGGTTTCTAAATATCTTTACTAAACTAAATATTGTCACCTGTCACTTACTGACAAATAATTGAAAATTCATTTACCTCATGTAGTCTTTATGTTTTATTATATAACATTTATGATTTGATTAAATTTATAGAGGATAAAAATAAGGGGAATAGTATTTTGTATCTTCAAATTAATTAATTTATTTGACATCCTCATCTATAGTCTGTTATAGCTACTGCCCTTCCCTGGTGTCAATCATAACCAGAAAATATAAAAATGGGCATGGAGGATTCCAAGAACAGTGGGCTAGTGGCCTGTTTCCTCTGGCCTTGCCTGAGGAAGACTGCAGGATGCTAAGATGAGGCTGCATTCACATGGGTGGCCCATTCATCATTGAGGGCAGAGGATAGCACAACATTAGCAGAAGGAATGTCCCAGTTACATTAACCCAAGAGAGACTCCCATGAGTAGTGAGTTATCCACAGTGTATCCAAAAATTCATGTGTGTCTTATGAGTGCTGCAAAGAAGAGGAACTAACAGAAACTGGGCTTCAGTGACATTTAGATACTTTTTAACAGAAATAAAGGGCCAAAACTACACTGTTGTGTGCCAGTACAGTGATTCAAAATGCCAACTGAGTCTGTTCACACCCCGGGTATTATCAATTTGATGACTGAACAACATCTGTGACTGCCATAAAAATCACCTATACATACGGA